ATCAAGCATAGTTAAAGGTGCAAGATGACGGTAAGATTTTTAATGTCTAATATCTCCATCTTGTTGAAAGGAAGGTTATAATGAAGCAGATCTCCTCAGCTGGGGACTTGTCAGTTTTTATCAATCAAACTCAATCAATTTAACTTTATTTATATAGCACTTTTCATGCAAAGCAAGCAACACAATGTGCTTAACAGATTAAAATGACCCATAACCCACATTCCCTCCCTTTCCCAAACTTAAAACAATTATGACACCCCCCAATCCACAAACCATTCCCAGGCAGGCACACATACACACAGACACACACACTCGTACACGTAAACACTAGGCTGAGCTTTATTCTTCTAAAAAGACCAAAGAGAGACAATGTCTCTACTATTAACAGTCTGTCCTGCTTACATACTTCCTGCTCCAGAGCTGGGCGATACATAGATATTTTTAAAATATCGGTATAATTTTTAAACAAGATACAAGATGACTTTATATCTTTATATCAATATAACTGGTCAAACTACTATGCTATTGATTAGCCGCTATGCTAGCGACATATTGGGTGTGTCCAAATCCACAGGAAGGATGCTTATAAGTACGGGTCCTCGCCGGTCTAGCAAGGCCGGGTCCTTGAAGAACGCTAAAACCGGAAGTCAGCGGCTCTGAATTTGGACAGTCTAGCCTTCACCTCTACGGTGGCCCGTAGGTCCCGTCACAGCCGTGGCCATCAAATAGTACATACCATATGTACTGTTCTGCAGTATTGTTGTCATCCATCACTTTGGCCAGTGTGCCTATTTTGCTTTTACACCATCTGCTTCACTACCCCCAGTGTTTGTTTAGTATTTGTGTGATGCGATAGGCTAACCGGATTAATGCCAACACGAATGGATGTATGTCGCTACGTACCGGCTCAGAGTCAGATGCACTCCATTCAATAACTTGGTTTTTTAACTGACATGTAAACTTAGAAAAGGCTCTAATGCTAGATGGAAAATGGAAAACTTTATTATCCTCAATAGGCCAATTTGTCTTGCAGCCAGCAAGAACAGTCACATAGAGACTACATGACAACATCATAACCACAACATTCATCACACGACCAGGGTACAGACAACGGGCTCAACAGTCTTATATAAGGCCGATCAAATTGCATTGTTAATACTAACAGGAACAAATTAACTTTTATACCTTATCATGTTGCATTTAATCATGCTATATCTGAGAGCTGATGACAGCAATGTGTACTCACAGTACAGAGGGTGATAGCTTTAGCCTTCCTTGTAACTCTCGATCTGTACAGCTGAGAGAGTTCTACAAGATATCTTCCTGTAAGTTTCCTGCACATGTTGACAATGTTGTCAAGTCCGTGCTTATCTTTAAGGGTGAGAGACTCAAACCAGCAAATAAAGGACAATGTCAAAACCAACTCAGTAATGGTTGAAGTTTTAGCTCGATTATTGCCATAACTCAAGTTAAATGAGTGTTTGATAAGAGACATTCGGTGAAAATGTTGTTTACATCATTCAGACAGCATGTAGGTCCATCCATCCATCCGTCCGCCCACCCGCTTATCCGGAGTCGGGTCGCAGGGGCAGTAACCTAAGGCGAGAGGCCCAGACTTCCCTCTCCCCAGCCACTTGGGCCAGCTCCTCCGGGGGAATCCCAAGACGTTCCCTGGCCAGGTGAGAGCCATAGTCCCTCCACCGTGTCCTGTTTCTACCTTTAGGTCTCCTCCCGGTTGGACGTGGCCAAAAAACCTCACCAGGGAGGCATCCAGGAGGCATCCTGACCAGATGCCCGAGCCACCTCAACTGGCTCCTCTTGATGTGGAGGAGCAGCGGGTCTACTCTGATCCCCTCCCAAATGACAGAGCTTCTCACCCTATCTCTAAGGGAGAGCCCAGCCACTCTTCGGAGAAAACTCATTTCGGCCGCTTGTATCCGCAATCTCGTTCTTTCGTTCACTACCCAAAGCTCATGACCATAGGTGAGGGTAGGAATGTAGCTCGACCGGTAAATCGAGAGCTTTGCCTTCTGACTCAGCTCTCTCTTCACCATGACAGACCGGTACAACGCCCGCATCACTGCAGATGCAGCACCAATCCGCCTATCGATCTCACGCTCCAGTTTTCTCTCACCCGTGAACAAGACCCTGAGATACTTAAACTCCTCCACTTGGGGCAGGACCTGATCCCTGACCCAGAGAAGGCATTCTACCCTTTTCCGAATCAAGACCATGGTCTCAGATTTAGAGGAGCTGATTCTCATCCCAGCTGCTTCACACTTGGCTGCGAACCGCACCAGCGAAAGCTGAAGATCGCGTTCTGATGA